AGAAAACAAATTCAACAGTGGTTAACTATTGAGGTCTATTCATTATTCCAAATTTTTTGGGATTTTCTCTCCTCGTTTCTATAAAATAAAAATATGAATATTATTTCAATATACGTGTAGTAAGGACAAATCAGATGATTTGCCCCAAAATGTCACTGCGTTTAAAGAATTTTCCTATCAGAGAGCCTAAAAGAAAAATTCACCAGCTTGTCAGTGACAATTTGTATTGAAAAATTTTTGGAGAAGAGAAATAGAGGTATATAGAAAAAATATCAAATTTTCACTTATCTTTGGACGTTTCGGGACCGATTCTGCTCCCGTTTTCGACATGAAGAGATTTTTTCAATTGCGAAGTCGTATAATATGTCTTGAAGCTTTTTAGTTTTCAATGACACTTGGTGACGTTGGCAATCGGTCCCGAAACGTCCAAAGATAAGTGAAAATTTGATATTTTTTCTATACATATACCTTTATTTCTCTTCTCCAAAAGTTTTTCAATACAAATTGTCACTGACAAGCTAGTGAATTTTTCTTTTAGGCTCTCTGATAGGAAAATTCTTTAAACGCAGTGACATTTTGGGGCAAATCATCTGATTTGTCCTTACTACACGTATATTGAAATAATATTCATATTTTCATTTTATAGAAACGAGGAGAGAAAATCCCAAAAAATTTGGAATAATGAATATACCACCTCCTCGATTAACCTACAGACAGTATCTATTGAGGTCTAATTGATCATCAAGTAAAATGTTCGAATTTTTGAGTTTGTTGATTTCTAAAAAATAATTGAGTTTCATTCCTTTATTTTCTACAATGCTCTTATTGAACGTACGACCTGTCTGACCAATATATACCGAGATATATACCTTAGGGCAAGATCCACAGTTGAGTTTGTATATTCCTGATTTTTCGAATTTGAAAGTTTTGTCTTCATTTCATTCGATGAACCTTCCCAACGTATTATTTGGTCTATATGCTACTCTTAGGTCTTGTTTATGTAGAAATGAAGGTAATTTTTCAGTTGATGATCCGAAATACTTTGAAATTCTTTTGTTACAGATATTATCACCCTGTATTTTTGCTTTGGGATCAAGAAGTTTAGTGACAAGAGAGACAGTAATGAATGTTATCAATAAGACGTATTGTAATATTTTCATCTGCAATACAGTTTTTCGTTTATGAGCCTTTATTCAATTCAGTCTAATTCTATTAGCCATTTATCAGCCAGTTATAAGCCAAACATCTATAATTTTTTTTATTATTTTTGATGGTTGAATAAACTTCTTCAATGGTTGTATTATTATTTATTTCATTTATTTTGAGAAAGAAAACAAATTCAACATACGCCAACCATAGTTTTGATGACAATTTCGTCATTCTACATGTAGAAAATAAAGGAATAAAACTCAATTATTTTGAATCATTAGGCAAATCAACAAACTCAAAAACGCTAACATTTTACTCAATGATCAATTAGACCTCAATAGTTCACCACCGTTGAATTTTTTTACTAACTCATTGCTGACAGTAGTATTAAGTTCTGTATTGATAATATAGGGAGCTGTTTGGCTTACGAGTATTCGATGTCCCCTCGGTTCCTTGCGGAAGAGAGAAGGGCATATTTTGAGCTCTCACTTAGTTTGGTTCCTACTCTGTGGCGGTTTTTTTTCAATTCCCTTCTGAATAACTTGTCATACTTTGGCTTAGTGGGGATTGTTTGGACCAAAATATAGCAGCAGAAAGACAGAATATGCCAAAGAAAATATTACAGTGGAAAGATACAGGGCATTTGAGTTGACTTTTTCTTTTGATTTTTGCTAATAATTTCACTGTATATCTATCTTTTGTTATAAAAATCGACGGAGATGCATAATTTTTAGTTTTCAACAGGGGACGCCACGTGAATGATTCCCGATGAAACTATTGACAAAAAATTAGAAAACTTGGAGTTTAAAACGGATTCTGTAGATCGGTAAGGAAGAGTTGGCATTGGCGGACACATAATTAAGTTTATAGGGAAAAAAGTATTATTTTGTCTTGAAAAATAAGCCCCTGAATTATGAAAGTAACCTCCTCATGCAGAAATGATATCAAAGTTGACTTTTATATTTATCATTTGTTATAAAAACCGACGGAGATGCATAATTTCATGCAGGGAATATTATGTTTTGTATTATTCTACAGTTTGTTACAGGGGGCGCCACGCGAATGTTTCCCGATGATGAAATCGTAACATTGTATTTTCGTGCAGTTTATAGGGAAAAAGGTATTATTTTGACTTGAAAAATGAGCCCCTGAAATTTTCATACTGACTTTTGAAACACCCTGTATATTAGGCTAAGATTCTTGGAAAAAGTAATCTCCTCATGCAGAAATAATATTTTCATTTGTTTGGTATATTCAATATCCTCAGGGGAATTTTAAAAATACCACCAGGGCAATGCAACCACACTGAGCAAGAGGAAGAGGTCATACTATGTCCTTCTCTCTCATGCAAGGAACCGGGGGGGGGGATATTCAAAACTCGCGTTTTGTGAAATGTTTATTGGTAATGCTTTCTTCTTGACAGAATGATAGAGATAGATGTGGCAGAGGCTTAGATGGAATCTCAAGGAGAACATGTGTTTCATTTTTCAATAGTCAAGACATTGGAACTTGATATTTGTAGGTTCCGTGCCTAAACTCATAGATATATTTGATTTTTTGGTGAAAATTCGCCTAACATGCTAAATTTTGAGGTATCATTTTTTATCCTAGTAGGCTATGGAAAAGGCAAATCTTAAAATAATACATACCAGCTTTGGAAGTACTATATTAAAATGGAAAAATAAAAACGGAAATCAGCTGACCCCACTATGAAAGAGTTGATTGCTGCCACTTGAAGTGCACCGGTGTGAAAATAGAAACGGTCGCCGTATCAGAAACGAAATAATAGTATATGCGCACAGGTGTAAAATGTTATCACATCGATTCTCCCGTTTTAACATTCAGATTTGGACTGAAACCATTGCGATCCAAATGTTTTGCGTTGATATGATGAATATGATGATTGTAATGATGACTTGAGGTATACACACAAATAGGGTGCTACTACCCCCATATATAGATGAATATCTCCAGAACAAATTAATTCATCGTTTATGATAATTTATTTTTAGCAATATATTCGAAATGTACAGAGCAAACATAACTACCCTGTTTCAGAATTCGTATCTGAAAACTCACCCTGGAAAACCACCCAATAGCTGAACATTATGTAAAATCATCGTTTCTGGAAATTTCTTTCTCAAAATATATTGAAAACGAAGAGAGAAAACATCCCTACACTGTTTCAGAATTTGTATCTCAAAACTCACCCTGGAAACCACCCCCCAATAGATGAAAATTATTTAAAATCATCGTCTCTGGAAATTTCTTTCTCCAAATATATTGAAAACGAAAAGAGAAAACATCCTGTTTCAGAATTTGTATCTCAAAACTCACCCTGGAAACCACCCTCTAATATATGAAAATTATGTAAAATCATCGTTCCTGGAAATGTCTTTCTCAAAATATATTGAAAACGAAGAGACAAAACATACTTACCCTGTTTCAGAATTCATATCTCAAAACTCACCCTGGAAACTACCCTTGAATCATCTGAAAATTATGTGAAATCATCGTTTTTGGAAATTTCTCTTTCACAATATATTCAAAACGATCAGAGTGAACATACATACCCTGTTTGAAAATTTGTATCTCAAAAATCACTCTGAATCTAACCTGGAATAGCTGAAAATTATGTAAGAATATCATGTCTGGAAATTTTTTTCAGAACTGATAGAGAAAATAGGAGTCTTATAGAAAAATCCCTTTAATGCAAATTCAACTGAAATATAATAAAACATAAATAATAAAAAATAAAACAAAGTAACAGAATTCATGTAAAAAAAGAAGTCTTCTGATAAAAAGACAGAGCATAATACTCTCGATAATACTGATGCATCAAATTCTGAAACAGGGTAGGTATGTTTGCTCTGTAGATTTCCAATATATTGCTGAAAATAAATTTTCAAAATCAATGAATTAATTTTGTTTTGAAGATATTCATCTATATATGGGGGTAGTACCCTATTTGTATGTATAACTCAATCCATCATTACAATCATCATATTCATTATATTGATGCAAAACATTTGGATGGCAATGGTTTCAGTCCAAATCTGAATGTTAAAACAGGAGAATCCATGTGATAACATTTTACACCTGTGTGCATATACTATTATTTTGTTTCTGATATGAAGACCATTTCTTATTTTCACACTGGTTTGAAGTGCACACACTGTAGCAGAAATATTTTTTTTTGTAGGGCATATATCTTCTATTGATTATTGTGACAGATACTAATGATATATTTTCAGGAGGTAAAAAACATGATAACTATAAAATTATCATTTTCAGAGATATTAGTTTTCCAGAGACAGCCACATATTTCATGAAAAATGTAGGACAACAAGAAATGACATTGTTTTATAAAACATTAATGAGATCAATGAATTTGGTGCTGTATCAAATGATATACAGTTTGGAGTTGAATGTGGTACTTCTCACCCCTGTACCAGCAAATGTGTATGGATTGCTGAAAAATTAATATGGGAAGTTAGAAATCTAATTCTTCAAAAGACCTATAATGGTGCAAAAATTTTCAAATAAAAAAAAATACTGACTTTCAGTACTTCAGTGCTGATATTTTTGTAGGGCATTAGTTCCTACTTGATTATTCTTCAATAATCTTATCAGATAGCCCACTCTGGATGGAAGGTTCCATTCAAATCTTTACTTACATGCACTGCTCCCAACTGATAGCACTGCCTACAGGAGTTGTTTCATAATATAGTACTATAATTTTTAATATAATTCATGCTGGGTCACATGAATTCTCCCAAAGGTAACCTGGGCTTGGAGTCTAGAACTTATTAAGGAAGATCTATTAGTTTAAAATGTTCATTTCCATTTACCATCAATGGTGCTTTCAACTGCTTCTGCAGCCATCTTGTCAACTCTCTCAATTCCATGATCAGTTTCATGTGATTTATCATTAATCTCACTCAGATTAATTTTTATTTTCCATGATCGCAAACGACGAAGTGTGATGTCCTGACTTGATTCATCAACACAGTTTTCATTTTCTATTTTTTTCTTTTTTCTCCTATTTTTACAAGATTTGGGACACACTTTGGATGAAATAACATCTATTTTGTTAGATGTATCCTCATCACTCAGCAATTCAACAGGTTCATTTTTCTTCATGAATGAACTTTTACTATACTTTTCCTGATCACATACATTTATTTCAGCTTTGTGGGGAACCCCTTGAATAATGGTTTTGTCTGAGATATCAGACACCTCACAATTATTTTTCAAATTAGATGACACTCCAAAAAAACTGAGAATACTTTTGCTACATTCTTTGGATTTTGCACTATTGAACACATCATTTTCAGATTTTTTTTCAATCTTCTTAGGGGAAGATGAGCTTTCAGCTTTTTCAAATACTGGTAGAGGCTCACACACATCATTTTCACTCTCTACAGAACTGGGAATATATTCAATATTTTCCTTTTTTGATTTATTATTCAAATTTCTGGATATGTAATTTATTTTTTTATTTTTTCTCCCAGTCAATTCCACTTCAAAATCACTATCTGATCCACTACTACTTGGAATATGCAAAATCCTTTTACTTTGTTTCTTTGGAACCCTCAGGTCAACTTCTACTAGAGGATCTTCAATATTCAATAATGTTTTCAGTCTTCTAGCTCTTTTATCTAATTTATGACTGATTACTTCATCGAGTTGGGCTGCTTCCCTTTTCCTTTTTGAAGCACCTTTCTGTTCAGCCCAATCATTCAACAAATTTCTTTGTGCAGTCAGTTTTTCTTTCTTGATTTTGGTATCAAAAGTATCATGCATTACTTCTTTGCCAGGAGAATTCATACCAATACTTTTATTTCTACTATCCATCATAAGCTTAAATGCATTTTGCTTGGAATTATCAATTCCTGCTTTGTCAGATTTGTTTAAAACATCCACTTCACAAAAGACTTCAGGATTCATATTGATTGGTGAATTTGGTTCAGTTATAAACTTTGTTATCCTGTCTATTTCATTACAGCTAGGAACTATAGTACCTTGCAGCATGAGAGAATCATTCAAGTGTTTGGATATTTCAGTAGAATTACTTTTTTCAGGTGACACTAGATACAAACTATTTGAGAATAACTGAGCAATGTTCTTCACTGCTGGATCTGAAGGTTTTCGACATTTCTCTTTCCTTGATTTCTTCTTATGTTTTTTTGTGGATGCCTCAGTTTTTCCATTCACTGCTGTTATTTCAGACTTTGAATTCTCAATCTTTGGAGAATATGGGGTAACATTATTTGAAGTGTCCAGTAAATTTTCATAATGTATAGTACTATCAGCTGTAATTCCATTGGCATCTTTTGTTGGGCTGGAGAAATAGTTCCTTATACTCTTCATGGCTTCAACCCCTTGTTGAATTCGAAAACATTTTTAAGTTCAACAATAAATCAGTCATACTCAAGAAAACATTGCACTATTATCGCACTGATATGAGATTTATAATAAGAATGTAAAATAAAATCGCAACATAAACTTGAAACTTAAAATAATTATTTAAACCTATATTTTAAAACATGCTGGATAAAAAAGTGCGCCATAACTTGATCTGACAGTTCTGACACTAGTGACAGTGACTTCAGTGACACTGCAACTGCACTATTAATTTTATTTTACCTACGTGAAGTGGGCAGTCAGAATTTCCGAACTTTCCCGATTGACCAGTGGCAGTGGCACGCGTTTCCCCTCTTTTTGGGTAGCGAATATCGAAATTCCTCAATTGCTTTTGTTTTATGAAGTTAAGCTCGGCGATGAATATCTAACCCAATATCAAATCATAAATGATATTAAGTGCCCTAGAGCTACCTACTTAAAAAAACATTGATAAGCATTGTGAAGGCACTGCACAGTTGCTTTTGGGTCTCGAATCATTTCAAAAATATTTTATTTTCGATACTTTTGCAAAAAAACTGCACGGCTGCTTTCAAGTCAGGAAGATAGGTAATTATGTGTTTGTTAGCACCATAGACAAACCAAATTTCCTTTCTCTATGGTTAGCACCTTGTGAAATTAGACTCGTTGGTATTAAAAACTAGGGTTCCTTGATGGAAATTGACGTTAGAGTCATCTTAACAGGGTACGGACAGATCCATCGTTTCCTCTCACTCTAAAGTGTTTGTGAAACAGTTATATAGTTCCATCCTTATTCAATTCTGGGGATCAACACTAGATTTTTGACATTCGTTGTTTTTTAGGTTATATTGAGGTCACTGGCGTATCATACGTGATTTCCATATGGAATTCCTGATTCAATTATACCAAGATATAGATAAACAATCCTCTTGTTCCAGAGTTTACTACTACAGCATAATCTTTGCGAGGTAGAGGGAACATATGAATTGTACTGAAAGTGTGATGATTGAGAAATGATGGAAACCTCGATGTGGATATCTAAACTACTGTACTCATGTCAAAAATGTGTGCTAAATATATTTTCGGAAATCCAACTCAAGAATTTATGGAGTTTCTAATATCACTCTATGTATCAAACTTCGCCTAGGACGAAAAGTAGGCTGATGAAAAGTAATACGTGAAATGTGTATGCCTCCCTTGAATAACAAGTCATTCTCGAATAATTTATTGATGAAAGTAACAAACAAGTAGGTATACGCAGTATAACTTATAGGCACGTTATTGTCACTCTTGCATCCTACATATTTTCTATTTGTGGTAGGGTAATAATTAAATAAACTAATGTCGTTCGCCATATTGAATCCGTCATCTTGAATTTTCCAATTTTCACGAAACAATCATTATCTCCTATCCCGAAAACCCCCAGATACCAATTTTGAGTAGGATCGGATCTTTATTACAAAACTCGTTCGCCATATGATCTTCCTCAACAAGTAAATACCCTGTACAGCAATATCAGGGATGCCAGTAGACAAAACTAAAGTCTCTAGATCATTAAAAAAGAATGCAGCTATGATCTGTCCGTACCCTGTTAGGATGACTTTAACGTCAATTTCCATCAAGGGACCCTAGTATTAACAGAGCTCATTTTCCGAGGCCTCAGTTATTGAAATCAGAGATATCATTGACAACTTAAAAAACAAACCTAGTTCTGACATCTACGGACTCAATGTGAAACTGATCAAATCTGTGTAAAACAATATTATCCATCCTCTTACAAAACTAATTAACCAGGCATTTAGGAAAAATATTTTTCCAGATGTTCTAAAAATTGCTCAAGTTATACCTATATATAGAAGTGGTGAACTGGACTTACCCCAGAATTACCGACCTATATCTCTCCTGCCAATCATATCAAAAATACTAGGAAAAATGTACTGCCATCAGAATAACAAAATTTTTCGAAGAAAATAAGTATTTTACAGAATGTCAATTTGGATTTAGGAAAAATAAGAATACAGTATTGGGAATATTGGATCTAGTATCATATATTTATGAAGCTTTTAATACTCTAGAATTTACAAGTGCCTTGTTCTGTGATCTGAGTAAGACGTTTGATTGTGTGTCACATGAAATTCTTATGCGCAAACTAAAAAGTTACCACTTCTCAGCAGATAGTTTTACCTTTCTCAAGTCTTACCTAACAAATAGAAAACAAACAGTGAAAGTAGATAGTGTTTCATCGGCACTTAAGGATTTCACAATCGGGGTGCCCCAAGGCTCAGTCTTGGGGCCCGTCTTGTTTCTAATATATATAAATGACTTGCCATCTATAGAGCCAGGAGCAAAATTCACACCATTTGCGGATGATACGACGGTGGCCATTTCAGCAAATACACTAGAAGAGGCTCTAAGGAGTACGGTAGATATTCAAAATAACATCCAGAGTTGGTTTTGTGCCAACAAACTTCTACTCAACACCGGAAAAACAAATAAGATTGTCTTTTCAACTAGGGACACGGGTGTGACCAACGGTGACGTGAGTAGTGTGAAATTTCTGGGGGTACAGATTGACCCACTGCTGCAATGGGGTGTGCATATTGATGGGGTGGCAAGCAAATTAAGGAGTGGCTTATTTAATCTTCGCTCTCTAGCCGGTAATGTCTCTATTTCTTCATTGAGGACAGCTTACTTTGAAATGTTCCATTCTGTGATGTGCAGTGCGATATTGGTATGGGGGCACGTACCACAGTCAAAGAGAATATTTAATTGCGTTGCAAAGAAAGGCTATGAGAATTATTGCAGGACTGGGGTATATGGATGACTGCCGTGAGGTATTTGGTGAGCTTGATGTGTTGACTCTGCCATGTGTATACATACTCGAATGCCTGATGTACGTTCACAAAAATAAAAATGTATGCAGGACTCACGCTGAAAATCACGAAATTCAGACAAGAGGTATGAATAGGTTAATACCAGTTCATCAACGTCTAACAAGGTGTCAAGACGGCCCTGGGTACTTGGCTGTAAAATTTTACAATAAAATTCCTATCAATATCATAAATTTAGAATTTGAAAATTTCAAGAAAGAAATGAGAGGTTTACTCAATCAACGCAGGTTTTATTCAATAGATGAATTTTTAAACTAAAACTTCTGATAAGAAACGAGTTTTAACATAACTTTAAGGTACTCAGTACAGTTTCGTAAAATTATTTTGTATTAGAATATGTATATTTTATATTTTTTGTAACAGTTATTGAAATATGTATTATAGCTTGACGAGTGTAAATACAATTGTATGTTGACATTAATAAATGAAATGAAACTATTAACGTGTTTATTCATCGACCGTTTCTGTATCTGTAACCAAAATTTAATCAATATACATGAAATATATGAGAATTGTGAGTTTCTTATGTATGTCAGGATTCCCCGTTTTCGTTATTCTTAACAGCCATATATCTTTGATTTTCTTAGGACACATTTCTTAGTATCCGCTGCCCCTTTCGTAAGAGGACAATAACGCCTTGCGTTCTTCAGTGTGGTGCTCTCACACTGGTCACTGATGGTCGGCTGACTCTTAGAGAAATCGTCATCTTCGTCCTCACTACTTTGGCGAGTGACAAAACGTTTAAGTCGCTCACTAGGACAAATACCTGTGTAACTTTTCTGGGAACGCGAGGTCCCAGGTAAATCATTCATAACATACCTGTCGTGATCTAAGGCAGCTGTTATGATATATGGACCATCATACTTTGGTAGTAACTTTTTACTATTACCATCATTATCCAAATTATCCTATCATATACCAAAATTATCCTTCATTTTGGTTTGTTGTTTGGTTGTCATATCCCTCGCTTCCTGGCGGATTTTATCGACTGTTACTGACTCAGGAATACTAATTTCCGATGCCAGAATAGAATCGTTTGTACCGTTAAGTTGATAACCAAACAACAACTCATGAGGACTTTCCAGTTGTTTTGTTTACGGTAGAATTGATCGACCATTGCAACTTCGGAATGAGCCGCGATCCCATGTGCGTTCATCATTCGAAGATGCTGACAATATTCCCAAAATCGTGGAATTGAAATTTTCCACCTGACCATTTGCCCTTGGTGTTGCTGTAGCATTCAACACATGTTTTATCCCTACCCTAGCACAAAATTCTTCGAACATCTTGCTGGTGAACACTGTACCTCGATCTGAAATAATTCTTTTAGGCACCCCAAAAATATCAAAAATGTCTTGGAACACTTTTATTACCGGGTTGGTCTTCGTAGAAGGTACAGCCCTTGCCCAACAATACTTCGTGAATCCATCTACCGCCACTATGAGGTAAGAATTTTTCTTATTGCTCGTGACGAATGGACCCAAATGATCTACATGAATGGTATGCATTGGTACATCAAACTTTTCTATTGGATTCAAAAAGCCCGGCTTCTTGCCCCTAGGCGCTTTGTTATACTGGCATGCTAAACATCCAGATATATATTTACGTACATAGCTCTTCATAGAAGGAAACCAATATAATTTTGCAATCGCCAACACAGTTTTGTCCAAACCTACGTGGCAAAGACCTTCGTGATAGTAACTAACGACTTGACGTCGAGTAGTCCTTGGTACTAACCAGCGAAGACCTTCGCTTGTTTTTCGATTAATACGATTTTTCTCTAATTTATAGTTTCTAAAAATATCTTGATCCTCCCTATCTTTAGGGGAGTTATTCTCTAAAATTTGATATATGTTTTTACATCTTTCATCGGCCAGTTGTGCTGCATGAACCCAATCACCCTCACTTATTTTAATATGTGTTAGAGACACTTTCTCTCCAAATTCACAGTTTACGGGATTCCGACTCAAAGCATCCACGTGTGACATTTTTGTCCCAGGTCTATACTCGACCGAGAAGTCAAATTCAAGTGTAGTTAACCACCAGCGCCCGATGCGTGGAATTAAATGTCGTTTAGTCAATGTAGTGCGTATAGCGTTACAATCAGTAACTACTTTGAAACTAATTCCAATTAAGAAAACTCTAAACTTTTGCATTGAATTCACTACTGCTAGTGTTTCTAGTTCGTAAGAGTGATACCCTTTCTTCCTGTTTGGTAGTTTGTCTACTAAAGTAGGCTACAGGCTTCAAATCACCGTTTTTAAATTGTAGTAGAATGCCCGCGATGGCATCCTTAGATGCATCCGTATGTAATTCGGTAGCTGAGAGTGGGTCAAAATGGGTCAGAATTGGTCTGTTCGA